TCTGAAGCCTCCAGTGACTCCTGTTTTACAAACAGGAACCGAGGTTTATAGCGAGAACAATACTGCCAAAAGCTCTGCTTACCAGCTGGAGCTGTGTGTTTTATTACCGGATACAATATTATCTGATCAACAATTCTGAGGAAGCACTGGGAGTACTTACTGTCTCAATCAGAAGACTCGTATACACTCTAATGATGACTGTTTCTTTGGACGTCTCTGCATCCACTTTTAAAGACCTTTAACCTTCGTTATAATCAGTACATTTTCTGGGGGAAAAAAGGCATCAACAACTGAAGAATCATTTGTCTGCCTGAGAAATTAGTACACAAAGTCCTTCAAACCCGAAGATTTACAGCTAGTTCATACAATGTAAGAAGAGAACATGCTGACAGATACAAGCTGTTTAGACGCAGATGTTTCCTCCACAGAACCTTCTTCTCACATGACAACAACACAGCCAAAAGCTTTCTTACTTCGGTAATAATGTGGAGGAAATTCTGCTCTCTACATCCCAAACTGCATTACCAACACCCATTATTTTTATCACAATATCACTATAATATATCATTATCACAAATAAGGCATTTCTCAGTGTTATGAGTATTATTTCCCTCTGTATTGACTGCTTGCTTTCTATTGGATTCACTGTTACCGTCGCTGGTGACAACACGACCCCGCTTAACTTAACGTTTTCAGCCAAATAGCCATGTGCGAATAGTAAAACAACGACAACAATGGCAGACTATCGAGCTGTGTTTGTGCTGCAGATTATTAACCTTACCTTCAGTAAAAATCTGCACCATTACTACAAGACAAGTCAAAAACAAAATTACACTGCCACCTACAGGCCTGACATGCATATTTCAGCGGTTTTAATAATTTCACTGTTTAAACTTTGCTGCAATATCACAGGGCAGTTTCAGGTTGTTGCAATATATCAATCATCAAAATATAGTCAAAAGACATACAACAAAGGAAAGGAAGTTTGTTTTGTCCTTGCCGCTGTTGCCAAGTGCTTGCCCTCATGGTGCGAAAATTGTTGGTTCTCTGTAAATACTTTTATGAAGGGGTTACGGTCAAGACCTGCTGACATGATAACTTTTGTTATGATTTGATGTTATACAAAGAAAACTGAATTGACTTGAAATGAGCATCAAAGCAGGGACAGATGAAGAGAATTATTCTTGGCGTGACATTGAGACTTTAAGAGGTGGCAGAAATATATGCTAGGTATATCAATATATTTGCCCTCAAATAAAGATTATTTGGAAACTCAAAACATTAGATTATTGTGGCATTATAGTTAAAGCACTGAATTCTAATGGTGGTAGACTATATATTCACTGATATTAGTGTTATTATCTATTAGTTATATTAAAAGTATAGTAATGTTCATTATCATCGTCACTTACTATTAGTATAGTTGTTGCTACTGTTGTTGCGTTCGTCTGTCTGCCTCTCTCTTCTCTTCTACCCAACTTGGCGTCGAGACAGATGACCCACCCACCTAGAGTCGAAAGGTCGTGTCCTGGTTCTCTGCTCTTAAAAGGCCAGTTTTTCTTGCCGCTCACCAAGGCTTGCTCAAGGTGGTACTGGTTGGGTCTCTGTAAATGTTAAGAAGGAGTTCGTCTAGACCTGCTCTATTGAAAAGTGTCCTGAGATAACTTCTGTTATGAATTGGCGCTATACAAATAAAACTGAATTGAATTGAATTAAATATATATAAAAATCTTCTTTTTTTAATTTAACTCAAGTCTATCAGTGAGTCTAAAATGTGTGTGTCTACACAGTTAATAAATTGTCCTGACTGCAGTGTTATGCATGTGTCCTCCTCTTTGTGCAGGTACCGGTCTGATCTGGATGGATGATGTGGCTTGTACTGGGGCTGAAGACACCATCCACCAGTGTAAGTTTCCTGGCTGGGGCAAAACCAACTGTGGCCACGTGGAGGACGCCGGTGTGACCTGCATCACCTAAATAAACCTTTTCATGATCCTGACACTGCTGCAGCGGCCGAGCGTCTCCTTAAAGAGTGCCTTAAACCTTCAAGAAGCTACAAGGTGCACAACGTCCCACCACTGCCTGGGGTGTCATTTCGCAGTATGCCGTTTTTTGCCACCTCACCTGACAAACCTCCACGTTGTGCATGAAGTAAATCTGCAGCTTTTTTTTTAAGAAGTTCATGATTAAACATTTAGCTTCAAGACTGAATCATGAGAGCAAAGAAAATGCAGACATTGTTTAACTTTGGGCAACTGTTACGAGCTGGTACACGGGGATGAACGCACAGCAGGACTCAAGTCTTCATTGAGGGCCGAAGGTCAGCTTTCAGACCATCAGAGGCTCGTCAGGTTTGCTGTTTTTGCCTCCGGAGTTGGGAGAAAGCTAATCCGACAACTTCACCATCACAAAGCCTTCAATTCGTCTGCTGGTGTCTGCAAGTCGCTGAGGAGCTGAAACGAAACTGACGAGACTGTTATTGATAAACTGATCTTTCATTTACAGGCAGCTGCTCTTCACAGTATTATACAGGAACGGCTTTTGAGTGAACGTACACATACACGGCGGTGCCTTATTATATATCATTGTATAGTATTACCCAGTGAGCAATCATTTCATGGTTTGCAGGTCAAAAAGCAGTTTGAGTTGAGTTAAAACTGGACAAAATTTGGGCTAAGAGTTCACATTTTTTAAATTCCTGTGGGATTTTTAATATTCAGTGTTACTTACCAGAACTAACAAACATGCTGAGTACTTTTCCAGCCTCTTAAAACATCTGCAAAGCCGATTTTTACTGTACCTCCATGTTTGCTCCCGAACGGATTATTATTATTATGATAATTAAAAAGGGGTCAACTAAGACTTCTCATCAACCAACGGTTTAATCAACTAATAGAGGACAACCCTTCTAGCAGTCCAGCAGTCTTCTGCAGGACTGTATCCATCACTTTTTCTGTGTGCGTCCTCATGCAAATAAAACAAAAAACAAAACATTTCTCCATAGCGCAACAAGTGATCAAAAATACACAAAGGGTACCTTCAAATTAAAATGAAAGGGTTTTTTAAATATTATATATATTTTACCCAAAGAAAATCTGTAGTTCTACAAAGTTCATTGTTAAAACATAACCTGTATGTTAGTTTGAATACTGAGGCATCTATATGACCTACATAAACAAACAAGACAGCGAGAAGATTGGTTATTTACGTATTCTTAATGCCTGTTACCAGGTTGGATTCCTGCTCCCCAAATGAAAATGATGCGGTCGATGTGGTGAAGTTAGTGACAAGTTGGTAAATTAAAGCAACGTTATGTAAGATTTGGTATTCCTAACAGGCGCCGCTCTCTTTCTGAGGCCTGAAAACATCCTCCTCCCCTCTCGACCCAAAGCTCCAACACTCCCACAGTGCTGTGAGCACCCGACCCCGCACGCTCAGGGCTAAGCTAACTAGCATTAACATTAACATTTGGCAGCAATTACTTTACTGTCCATCAGCAAACTCTGTAAATCACAGCGAGTTGAGCAGCTGGAGGACATCAGTGGGAAAACCAGAAAACATTTCCTCCATAAAATATGATCCAGTTTCACCAAATCAGTGACGTAGCTGTTGGTAACATTGTGCAAGAACAGGCGCACAGAGGCGACATTCACCCCGTTACAACTCGCATCAATAATGATTGAGAAGCTGTTATTTCAAAGTAGAAACGTTACGTCATGTTGGTTTAAGTGGAACATTCAGCAGCTAAAGCAGCAGAGATCAAAACAGAGCTAAAAGGAGATCATTGGACTTCCATCGAGTGCACATGAATGCTAACGTTGTTCTGTGTCTGCTGGCCACAACTGTATGAGGACATTTTAGGGTTGTATCTTCTATTAGGTGAGAAAAAAAATCAATTATCGCAGCTTTTCAGCTCAACATCTAGACCTTCTTTAACCTGCAAATCACCAAATCAGTGTTTACCGTGTGCTTTATGTTTCTAAAAACATTTAGTGAAAGGGTTAACAGTCACTGCAGCTGACAGATGAATTGATTACGACGAAGAGAGAACAGATGAGTATAAACAGATGGATGTGTGGACGCCTGCCCTGTACGATTTACAGCGGTGGGTCTGTCAGTGCTCATTGCCAAAAGTTGGGTTGTTTTAGCATCAATGCACATGTGCACTCACACACACACACACACACACACACTAAACCAACCATAACAGACAAGCTTTTTCTTGTGAGTTTTATGCCTCTCTCCGCGAGGTTTAATCTTTACGGCTGCCCTCAAATCCAAAAAGGCTGGTACCTCCCAAGTGTCCCTGCTCACCTCCCTGCCGGAGCCAACAGGAGACATCCAGGTTGGAATAAAATATATGCAGGAACCTGTGTCTTTACCCTGTAAAGTTTTATATTTGAAAAGGGAAAACAAGATTTTAGTGCACCTTAAAATTCGTCTTTAAAAACCTCACAGTTCTGTCCTCTAAGGAGCTGTAGTTGAATTCCCTCTGATCATATATTCTGTAGTGAAAGTTGTCCTTTCGTAGGGTAAACCGATGGTCTGGCCCACTTTCTTTTTATGAAAATGATTCTGCACACGTGATGTGCTTTTAAGAGTTTGTGTCCATTTGAGAGAGAGAAAGAAAGAAAATGTTGGATACGAATTTGACTTTTTTAAGGAAGTGCAGCCAGAAATGACTTTTTCTACCTCGTGTTCCTTAGTGCCTTAGTGTTTGTGGAGGGTTTTAAACCACGACTCTGCTACAGAGGAAGACAAATGAAAGCAGGAAAAGAGGGAAAAGGGAAAATGAGGTGAGAAACCAGACTCAATAGACTGAGGTGTATCAAAACAAAAAAGGGAATTTTGACTGTTTGACTGATAACTCACTCGATAGCTTTCACCACTGCTGAATAACAACAAGCTCAATTTAGTACATTACAGACATTATCAGACCCTTTATAATGAACTGACATTCATTTCCCTTAATTCACTTTGTTCACAGGGTTTGTTTCCGGTTTTATAAAAGTAATAATACTCCTATTAGGACTTAATGACACCAACAGTATGTGTACTGTATTATTACTGTACTGTCCCCTACTAAAGATTTTCCTAGTCGTTATTTCAGTCTTCGATTCGTCTTAATTTACTTATTTAAATCTCTATTTGTGAACAGCAGCCTGTTAAACGCTAACAGAAGCAGCAGTAATGATTGTGAATGTGTCAGAACAACCAGCAAGGATTCAACACAGTGTAACATCACACAGTCTTCACTTCATCACTTCCAACTTCACTGAAACAAATCCCACCGTGTCTTTGTCGTCCCCAGAGTCAGAGTCCTGGTCGGAGCCGCTGTGGACCACCCAGCCTCTAACTAGGTAGTGGCAGCAGCCAGTTAGCACAGTTAGCATATGCAGCAATGCACCGATATGCGACTCCCTGTGTAACAACTGATATAGGTCCGTGTTGTGATACTTAAGTCCTGTCGACGAGGCGCAGCTCCTGGACAGAGTTTAAAGTTGTTTTTGTTTTTCTGCGACTATCCGACTAATTAAAAGTGCATCGATCTAATTATTATAATACACATTAGAACTGAAACCAATCGCCTTTAGCTTCTCAAATGTGGGTATTTGCTTTAGATTTTTTATCATTTCAGCATTTTTCACTATTTTTGCACATTTTATGAACCAAAATAATTAAACTATTAATCCTAAAGGGGACCAGGTCAGACTTTACATAAAGATTCATATAGCTGAAATACAGCAGATGTATTCCTTTCTCAGCACAGGAAGTGATAAAATACAGTAACACATTAAGAGTTTACTGATAAATGACTCCACCTCAGAGGATTTCTGGGCAGTCGGGTCCTTCAAATGTAAAAATTAAAAACAGATCTCTCACTGAAACTCACAGCTGCCAAAGTACAGTGTTACCTGTACAACACCGGCATCCAAATATCATTCAACCATGTTTAACTCATTTGTCTTCAGGTGAACACACACACACACACACATACACACACTTTATATACAGCATTAGCAACCTGATATACGCTGCAGTTACACTCGGATATCCAGTTTCTTTTTTATCTGTACTTAAAAGGAGTGAATGGAACAAATTAGACATTTACAAGGTTTTAAAGTTGTATACTTTCCAACTAATGTGTGCATGATTGAGTGTAATTCTCTAACACACACTCACTCGTACAATATCTGCTCTGTTTTTATGTGCGTCTCCAAAGTAGCTGAAGTATGACTGAGTGGCAGCCAGACCTCAGTGTGTCTGGTTCTGATGTCTCTCATTCAGCACCAGGCTGCTAGATGTCCCTTCCGTCCATCGCCATACAGCTATAGCGGTCTTATAGAGCAGTGGTTCCCAACCTGGGGGTCGGGGCCTCCACTAGGGGTCGCCAAAGCTTCACAGCGGAAACCTTCTTGATTTTAAGGTGTGTAAGAAAACTTTAAAAATACACACAGTAGGTCAATATCTCAGCATCATTTCTGTGAATAAAACTAAATGAAATTGTTATTTTTAAAGTTTAGATTATTATTTAAAGGGGAACTTGGCAACTTTTTCAGCTTAATAAACCCGTTTAGAAATCATTTGGATGGTTAAATGGCCTGTTCCGGTGAAAATGGTGACCCTCCCACCCCCCTC